TCCCGTCTCCCAAGCCCGGGACTCCCCCGGGCTCTGGCTTTGCCACACTCACCTTGGTCTGCGAGCCTGCGGAGTAATTGAGGTGGATGATGAGATCGGCCTTCCTCTCGGGCCGCAGGAGGGGCGGGTAGCTGGAGTTGACGAAGAACGCGGTGTCCAGCAGGCACAAGTGGCTCACGGACTCCGTCAGCTGGTTTGGGAAGCCATCGAACACCGTGTCTGCAAGCCAAGCCTTCTGGTGACCAACATGCCGCAGGGCAGGACTCCCTGAGAGTGGGCAGAGGCCCTGGCAGGGGTGGAGCACCCTGCTTGGCGCCCCTTTGCTTCAGCAGGGTCTCTGTGCATTTCCCTCTTGGCTAGGATGCCTTGGGGAGAGAGGCCCAGTGCCCTGAGTGAGCTTGAGTGGGTCTTGGCTGGAATATGCACAGAAAACCCACCGTGACCAGCCACAGAGCTTCTAGGGTCAGCAAGCAACCTATAGATTAATGCAAACCTGGGGTCCACGCGGCTGCCCCAGATGGCAAGGACAAGGATCACCATGCTAGGCTCAAGTAGCCATTTGCAGGCTGTGGTCAATTGAATCTCACCGCAGGTGGAAAGTCGGCTTGTGAGGCGGGGAGCAGGCACTGGGTGGCAGCCGTGAGACTAGTCGAAGGCCTTGGGGCTAGGTCATTCCTGCTCAAGTATAGCATGGATCCTACGAATTAAATACCCACACCAATCCCTGCTGCCAGACCCACGTCCAGTTCAAGAGCCGCCAAGCTTGGGATACCTGACCCAACCAAGGACGCCGGGGGAGATCTCATCCTGCCTCTGCGGCATCTTCAACCTCCATTCCCCACTCCCTGCAGGAGCAGCCCGGCCGGTTACCCTTCCACTTGGAGAACTGGCCGTTCTGGAGGTAGTCGGTGTGCAGCTGCAGGCCCCGCAGGAAGTTGTGGAACTCCGACACAAAGGAGCGGTAGGTGAGGATTTCCCGCAAAGTTTTGGACAGCCACGACCCTGGGACCACCACCGTGGTCTCCAGCATGTTGGCATCACATTTGGGGATCTCAGGCAGCAGAGGCTCGTCTTCTGCAAGGGGAAAAAAGGATGGAGAGCAGGTCACACAAATTGGGGTCCCAGACTGCCCATGCAAAGCATTGATTGGCGGGCCTGCCGGAGAAGAAGGGTGAGGTCTCCATGTGAGCAGAATGCACCCCTCTCCTGTTGAGCTCTCCAGACCAAGGCCTTGGAGTCAGGAGAACCCAAGAGACTGACAGAGGATGGGGACTGGGGAGTGGAGAGGGGTGGCCATAGTTAAGGACAGGTCCCAGGGAAGACGGGCATCTAGACAGACACCTTCCCCTGCTCATTGAGTCCCACCTCTTTAACTCTCCCAGGTTCCCTGCCAGCACTGTCATTTCTAACTCACATGGGCTCCACACTTCCCCCATTACACGAGAGCCGGCCCCACTAGCTTGCTGCTTAGCCCTGGCACCAGTGTCTTCATCTATAACCACCCCCTTCCAAGCAAGTCAGACACTCTAGCTCGACTTGCCTTTCCACCTGTGGGTCACAAGGTCTAGAATGAAACACATGATAGGTTGGACTGGGCTCAGTTCATGATCCCCCTCTCCCCTGCCACCCAACCATGAAGGGCAGCCAGTGGGTCGGTCACCCACCGATATCGTGCACTCTGTCCCTCGTCCACCTGTGGAAAAACTCCTCTGAGGTATGGGACAGATTCCAGGCATCCAGCAGGTTCAAGGAGAAGATGCTGCTCCACAAACCTAGGAAGCATGTCCAGGGTGAGTAGCGCCGAGTTGTCTAAGAGCTCCAAGCCCCGCTCTCCCACGGATTCTGCCTTGGTCTTGATGCCTTGTGGTGCCACAAATTGCTTAATATAGCCCTTCTAGGCAGTCTTTGTGACTCTCACACAATGTCTGAGTGGGCTCAGGTAAATAAGGTGTCTGGACTCTTGTGATGGTTGGGGGTAGACGTCAACTTTTCCAGGCTATAATAATTCCTAGTATTACGTTGTTGTTCTCCATTTGGTGATGTGATGTAATTATCCTTCATCATGTATGTTATGAAACCTGACTTCCTCTGGGTTAATGAGGCAGAATGATGTTATGCTAATCAGGATTAGGTGGTGCTTGTTGTGTAAATGAGGCAGGATTCCAGAGGCATGCCCTCAAGCATGCCTTTACCCCACTCACCATCCTTGTTCCTTCTCATCACACCTTTTATCTTACAAGGAATGAAGGAGAGGAAAGTAAATAAGGAGGAGGAAACTGACTACTACCAAGAAAGAAGCAAGTGGAGTGTCTTTGGATCTGGGATCCCTATGCTGAGAACCTCCTAGCCAAGAGAGAGGAAGGGAGGGTGGGAGCAGCAGAGAAACAGTGGCAGAACCAGGAGACTGGCAGATGGCATGGTAGGCACCCCATCCACAGCGAGAGAGAGCTGGTGGAGTGAGCAGGGGGCTTCCAGGCACTTGGTGAAGCCAGGTGTAGACACATTGAACAAGAGTGAGCTGAGAACCTTCAGGGAGGAGGCTTCCTGGCACAGTGCGACACCTCTGGGCACCTGCAGGAAGAGCTAGAAGAGCTTTATAACAATTCCCAAGCAGGGCAAAGGCCAGGCTGAGTGGTTGAGGTGCTGAGAGGCCAGAGAGAATCATGTTGATGGATGGGCACAGCTGAGAAGAGGCTGTCCTGACTGAGAAACTGTATCCCGTTTCATTCCAGATCCTGAATTGTAACCTATTACTTCCCTAATAAACCCATCATTGTGAGTGTTGTCTGAGTTCTGTGGACCTTTACAATGAATTATCCAAGCCAGCTGGGAAGTAGAGAGCCCTGTGGGAGAAACCTGGCGGGAGGGTTGGGGAGAGGAGGCGTGTCTGACTTCCCTCTCAGAGGAATCAGCCTGGGGCTGGTGACACACCCCCCCTCGTGGAATTAGAGATAGTCAGATGCCTCCACCGTGCCATTTTTATATTCCCCTTCAAGGGGAGCAGCTCAAAGGGATCGCAGAGAACCCCACTTCCCTCTCCCCAAGGAGCAGCTAGCATCAGCTCCGCACAGGTGACTGCCTACCCTGACCCTCCACACTTCTCCTTAGTGCTGGGAGAGGCTTCGATGCTGTGGATGGCACAGGCCCAAGTTCAAGGGCAGACTCCACCGTTTGCACAAGCACATGATGAACTCAACCAGTCAGCGCTCTCTCCTATCATGATTGTAAAATGTAACACTTTAGTTGTAATAACACTCATATGAGAGCCTTCACATATGGATCTTCTAGAACAGGGGTCCTCAAACTTTTTAAATAGGGGCCAGTTCACTGTCCCTCAGACCCATTGGAGGGCCGGACTATAGTTTAAAAACAAAACAAAACTATGAACAAATTCCTATGCACACTGCACATATCTTATTTTGAAGTAAAAAACAAAACGGGGCAAAAACACCCAGCAGGCAGGATAAACGTCCTCAGTGGGCCACAGTTCAAGGATGTCTGTTAATCTAGAAAATGAGATTTGCTCTTAAATTCAATTTACAGATGAGACAACTGAGGTTCTGTGAGATTAGTCTGAGGTTAAGCCAACCTGACACAGCTAATCAGTCAAGATCCAGTGCCTGAGCTAGAGCTCTCTGAACCACACGCTCAGTGAGTGGAGGGAGAGGTGTGAGCTCGGGACTTCCTGTGGGTTGGAAGGGGGCCAAGGGAGGGTTGCTGCTGCTGTGTGTTGCCATATTGGTGCTGACTCAGAGCGACCCCACAGAGCAGGGTAGAACTACCCTCTAAGCTTCTCCCAGCAGATGTCAGGTCTTTTCTCCCAGCCCACTGCTGACCTCTGCGCTCCTTCATTGTGCCACCAGGGCTCCTGAGTAGAAGGCATGGAGTTGGAGAGCAACGAACTGAAGTAAAGGCACAGCTGTGGTGGAGGCTGTGAAGACAAGCCTGCTTTTTCAAGGTTGTCCTTTGGAGGGACATAGCTCCCGCCTCACAGTCAGGCCCTGCACTCAGGGGAGCTGAGGGTCAGGGATGGTGGGGCAAGGTGCAGGGGCTTCCCCAGAGGTTCTTCCCTCTCCCCGTGGTCCTCTCCAGCCTCTTGGATCCCAGGGGCTGGATGGCTACCAGGAGGTAGGTACACTGCTGCCTGCAACCAGAGGCTGTTAGAGTGAGCATGGCAGAAGCTTCCATCTCAGCCTATTACTCGGGTCTATTTTTTTAAATCATTTTATTGGGGGACTTTTATGACAATCCATCATTCAATTGTATTAAGCACACTTGTACATATGTTGCCATCAACCTTTCTAAAACATTTTCTTTCTACTTGAGCCCTTGGTATCAGCTCTTCTTTTTCCCCCTCCCCTCCCCTTCCGCCCCTGTGAATCCTTGATCAATTATATATTATTGCTGCTATTGCATGTCTTACACTGTCCGTTGTCTCCCTTCACTCGTATTTCTGCTATTTGTCCCCTTTTGTCATCCAGAGTTCTGACTAGACTCGGGCTCATCACTGGAGTCCAAGATGTTGGGAGAATCCCTCCGGGTCATAAGGACTTGGAGGTCCCTGAGAAGTCCTTCTGGTCCCAAAGGGCTGCAGGAAGGTTGGGACAGTCCTAGAAGCCTGTCTGGCTGGACTGGGAACCTTCTCCTGGAATGAACTGATGCTGGCAAGCGCCAGCAGGGTGTCTGCCCAAAGGACATATCCAGCCAAGCGAGGGACAAGTGTGCCACCCCACTAGCTAGCTCTCTAGCTCAAAGGCAATGCCTGTGCAGGGTGGGGGTGGGGGTGGGTGCCCGGGAGTCCCCCTGCCAGCAGTCACCTATCATGTAGCACATTCGTGACTCAGGGATCCTCTTCATCAGCCGCCCCATGTAGAACTCGGAGCCGAAGAGCTCGGTGGGGATGAAGGCACCGTACTTCTGCAGGCCTACCTCGTAGGGGGAGAACTCGCACCATTCTGCACACCAAGAATGGGGGTCAGGGAGTCAGATCCATCTGGGTGCCACCCCGGGGACAGCCGCCCTCCCTTCTGCTGCCTTGGAGAGCCCGGAGGGGCGGGCGCTGAAGTGTCGACACAGCCCCCACCCAGGGCCCAGGAAGCACAGGCTGCTTTGCACTCTGCATGGCTGGTCTGCTCCTCCATGCCCGGTGAGTGGGCACCCAGGGGCCGGAGGCAGGCAGCTCTCTCCAGTCGTCTGTCCCTTTGGGCAGCTTGAGAAACACTTAGGACCCTTTCCCTTCACAGTCCTCAGTTTCTCCTACCGACACACGGTAGGGGGGTGGGAAGGGGAGGGATGTCCACCCCTGGAAGCCCATGGGCCCCGCCCCATGTGGCAGGGCAGCTGACGTCATAATTGGTGGGCACAGCTGCCGCTGGTGTAGAGGTGGGCAAAGGCAAGGAGGGGCAAGGAGACGGGGAGGCGCTGTGCGCCTTTGCTTTGCCTGCTGAGAAGGGCACCCCCACACACACACAAGTCGCGAGTCTCCAGTGTTACCTCTGAAATCCTGGTTGCTTACATCATCCTTGACATTGATGGTGAGGTAGATGGGCATGGGGTTCTGGCCCCGGCACAGAGCAGCTTGCTGTTCCGACAGTTTGCCGTCATTTCTCTGTGGGGAGGGAACCAGGTTCAGGAGAAGCAGCAGGCAAGCAGCACGGGGTTGAGGGCAGCTCAGGATCCAGGAACAATCTAGACCCCCACAGGCCGACCATGTCACTCACTCCGAGGCTGGGTAAGTCCTGGCTGCCCCGATTCACACTTAAAATGCACCCACTGAATGAATGGGCGGGGCCAGCCACCAGTCTAGACACACAGCCTCTGCCCCCTGGCTATAGGTTCTGCCCCTCTTGAGGGTCTTGGGCAGAGATTAAAGGATTGGTCATAGTGAGAGAGGAACCCACAGCCCCTCGGCATGCCAAAATCTGCCACCCACTCAAACCAGATCTGCCCAACTTGTGTCTACTGGGCAGGTCGGGTTCTCTGGTGAAACGTAGGAAAGCGTCTTTCTTTTGTTCACAAAAGGCTGGAAACCAGAGCACTAGATGGCAGCTGAGGTCCTCCAGAGCGCCCGCTCTGTGTAAGCAGAATGGGCAGCCCGGCAGCATAGCCTGGGCCACGGGCCGCCCCCATAGTGAAGCAGCCAGCATAGAGGAAGCCAAATTGAGGTCTCAGAGGCCCAAACTCTGACCCCAGGGCTCTACAGCGGCTCGCCAGGTGACCCCCATAGTAACCCACAGGTGCAAGGCCAGGGGACCTGTGTAGGGTTGTAAACTGAGTGGGGCCTCTCTTGAAAGGCAGATGGGGTGCCTACAATCGCTGGAGGGAAGTCACAAGTTCGAGGAAGAGCCCAGTCCACACTCCCTGCCTGGAATCCTGCGAGAAAGCGGCCAGAGAGGAGGTGCAGAGCCCTGTTGGGGTCACTCTTGGACCTCACTTGGTGTGATGGCGTCTAGCCTTCCTCAGTGTCTCCTCTAGAGGATGTTTAAAGGCACCTAGCCCCTGCCTCTCAGGGGACATGCTTCCTCCATAGAGAATGGCCTACACCATCCCCAACATGAGGACCCGCGGCATGCTCTAAAGCAGTGGTTCTCAACCTGTGGGCCAAGACCCCTTTGGGGGTCAAACGACCCATCACAAGGGGTTGCCTAAGGCCATCAGAAAACACATATTTCCAATGGGCTTAGGAATGAAGATACCGTTCCTCTATCGTCTCCAGGCGGGTCCGCTCATATGCAGATATGCCCACCTACAAGTACCCGGTGTGAAGACAGTTTGTTACCCATGCTACACCATGCTTCAAGACAAAATTTCATTTATTTGTCATTAGAAATAAATATTTCACAATATATAATGACATTGTTTTTGTGATTCCTCACTGTGCTTTGATTGTGTTCAATTTGTAACAATGAAACTACTTCCTGCATATCAGATATTTACATTATGATTCATAACAGTAGCAAAATTACAGTTATGAAGTAGCAATGAAAATAATTTTATGGTTGGAGGTCACCACAACATGAGGAACTGTATTAAAAGTTCTTGGCATTAGGAAGGTTGAGAACCACTGTTCTAAAGGGTGCACGGGAAGACAACCCCATCTACTGCCTTCATCATACACTGGGGCACCTCACAGTTCCGATAGCCTGGAGATACATCTGCAGATGAGACCTGAGTCCCTTCTGCTGAAGTTTAACTCCCGATCTTCCAGATGGAATTGAGCACCTTACCTTGTCCCCTAGACAGGCCTCAAGCAGCAGGCCCCAGAAGTCGGTGAAGGTGACCTTGTAGCCTTCCTGGCTGCGCTTGTCGAGTTCCTCCTTGTGTTTACAGAGCTGGTCTGGGAACAGAGCTGGCAGCTTGTCCTTGACCACGTGCCTCCGGGCCTCGAAGATGGCTGGCTCCAGGCTCTTGGAGGACCAGTCTGGGTCTTGATACAAGGTCGCCATGGTCCTGGAGACAGACAGGCACAGTTGATAGGGCTGACCCAGCCCTGGTCAAGTCAATCCTGGACGCTGGTGGGAGAGATGCTGGCGGGAGGCACAGATGATAGGGCTGACCCAGCCTTGGCCAAGTCAATCCTGGAGGCTCTGGGCAGTCGGTGGAGGCCCTACCCTTCCAGGAGAAGAGCTGGGAAGAAAAGGGGCTGAGGAGGAGGTCTGGCAGATGAGGCATCAACATCATCACTCAGTACTACAAGTGCTACAATTTCTCAAGTGCCTGTTGTATACCAGCTGTAGCACATTGGTTAAGAGGCAGCATTCTGGGCCCACATCTTCCCAGGTTCAAAACCAGGCTCTGCTACTCACTAGATGTCTGATCTTAGGCAAGTCACTTGGCCTCTCTTTTCCTTAGTTTCCATTCCACATCTGTGGAAGCGGGAGAATTACAGTAATATACTTATCTCATAGCATTCTTGTGAAGGTTAAGTGAGCTAATGTAATGCAAAGTAATTCTAAATCACAATTCCTGGTGCCAAATCCTCAGTCTTTGCCATACTAATTCCCATAAGTATGGATGCTAGCTAAAGATTTATTTCTCCTTATTTCTTCACTTAAGGAGCCCTGGTGACACTGTGGTTTAAAGAATTGGGCTGCTAACTCTAAGGTTGGCGGTTCAAACCCATCATCGCTCTTTGGGAAAAAGATGAGGCTTGTCCTATCCTGCAAGGATCCTCAGTCTCAGAAACCCTGTATAAGGTCATTATGAATCAGGATTGAATCAGCAGTGGACTTGGTTCCTTCTTGACTTTTATGTTGCTGGCAGGAAAGACAGAAAGCAAAGATGGAGGACCCGCAGCACTGACCCTTTGTCTCTGTCTGTCTGCCCCGTTGCCTGTGTTTTCACCCCCACCCCACCCTTATATCAGGGCAGAAAAGGGATCTTTCTCATTCAGCACTTGTGCCCACCCACCCACCACCAATTACTCCCCTCCCACCCACCACCAACTGTCACCCTATATGCAAGTGAAAGTTGGACAATGAATAAGGAAGACTTAGGAAGATTCCATGCACTTGAATTCATGCTGGCTGGTGAATATGGGAAGTTCCCAGGGCTGCCAAGAGAACAAACAAATCCGACTTGGAAGACGTACAGCCAAATGCTCCTGAAGGGCAAGGATGGCGAGACTTCGTCTCACGTACTTGGGACATGTTTTTGGAAAAGGAAGCCATGCTTGGAGAAGTAGAGGGGCCGTGAAAAAGAGGAAGGCCCTCAACAAGGTGCATTAACACAAGTGGCTGCCACCAAGGGCTCAAACATCACATTTGTGAGGGTGGCCCCGGACTGGGCAGTGTTTCCTTCCACTGTACATGGATGGGGTCGCAAGAGTTGGAACCAATCTGATGGCACCTAACAACAGCAGCAGCAGCAGCAACCTCCTGTTTGTGGCCACATTTCTGTCTGAACAGTGGCCTCTTCTCAGGACTCATTTCTGGTTGGTGATGGTATTGGTTGCATAGTCAAGAGATTAGTGAAGAAAAACACTCTCTGGTGAGGTTCACTTTGCTACTTGTATACTTTAAAAAGCCTTCCGAAACTATTAAAGACAGTTGCTTCTACAAGAATACTACCTGACCTCCACCTTCACCCAGGCCAGCCAGCCCCACACCTCTCCCCATCTCCTGCCTGGCCCTGCAGGACACAGGCCAGAAGGATGAAGGTGCCCTGTGACCCCGATGAAGGCAGGCCGCTCCCTAACCTACTACCCACCCACAGACATCTGCTCACTGTGGAGGCTACGCACAGGGAGCACAGGGAGCCTGGAGTCGAATCGTGCAAAGCCCTTACCACTTCTGGGCTGAGTGACTCTGGGCAAGTATTTTGCGTCTCTGTTTCCTGCGCTGCAAGATCAGAGGCTTATTTACAGGGTGGTTGCGAGGAAGAATGATCAGCCGTAGAAATCAGTCAGGACAGGGCTTCCCAGAGTCAATGCTTAAGAACCATCAGCCTTTCCTTCTGGGCCACCTGGACAGAAGCCTCCAGGCCCCTGACAGGTGGGCGTGGGGTATCAGGAGCCCTAGGGTTCCCTAGGGTGAGCTCTCATCCACTTACTTAAATCAGTGTTACCCAGGATGAGTGATACACGAGGCAGGGTCAGAGCATGGGACTCAAGGCCCATTAGCCGTGGACAGGATAATTCTCAGCCACAGCTGAGGGGGCCTGAGGGACTCAAGGGTCCAGTGACCTTCGACCAGGGCTGTGCTATGTCTTCGGTGGGTGTCAGCAGGTCAGAGGAAGAGGGCTAGGAAAGGATTGGGGAGGGGGGGTTTCTGGCATGGGGGCAGCCAGAGGAGCTGATGAGTGAGTTTTGGCACGGCCCTAAGAGTGGGTGCTGCCGCAGGTCTACTCAGTTGTCTTTCATGCTCCTGGGTTTCTGCCACTGCCCCGGGAATAGTCATGGCCACCATGTATCGTGTATCCAACCAGCTCTGGTAACACCCCTTTGAGGTCAGTGCTATTGTGAACCCCACTCTACAGATGCCGGAATGGAGCCTCGGACCAGGAAGCTGCCCACCCAAGGTTACATGGCCATCGGTGGCAGACAGTTCAGGTGGACTCACTCTCACTGGTGTGTGTGTGTGTGTGTGTGTGTGTGTGGTGGTGGGGAGGGGGCACACTTTCAGCAGACACCCCAGCTAGCCCGTTTGCTGCTTGCCCTGAGCTCTACCTGAAGGCTGCTCCTGACTCTTACCAGGTGGCCCCTGACAGGCCAGTGATGTAGCTGGAGCAGTTGAGGAGGTTCAGCTTCTGCAGGCCCAGCAGATGGCCGTACATGGAGGTCATGGACCTTGTCCCGCCGCCCGTGGCCATGATGGCTATCAGGGGGACCTGGGGGCATACAGAGGCAGGCTGTTGGCGAGGGTTCCTGA